TATTTTTAAAGATGCAGGTGTTCCTCTTAACCGCTGAAATTCTACTCCTTCTTTTATTGCTTTCTTTTTGTCTTTTACCCACAGCANAATTTCTTCTAGGCCATACTCCTCTATTAGCCACGGCAATATTTCATCTTTAAGATTAAACTTAAATCCTCTTATGCTGCTTGGATCTACTCTATAGTCTATCGCTTCAACTAATGCTTTTTCTTGTTTTGTCGCATTTGGTGGTAATAACATTAGCCTTTTCCCATTAATTCTATTTTTAGATTGCCAAGTATTGCACATTCATTTCCTTTAATAACAACGTCTTCTTGAGGCTCTATCAACTCTATATTTTCTACCCCTTCTATAAACAAATTCGCTATAATCCATGATTTTGTAACACTCCATCCTAACTTTTTGCTTGCTTTAAACTTTTTGCTGAACTGTTTCTTGATTTCTTCCTGTGATACTACAGGGCTCATGCTAATTTTACTGTGGATATTTATTGGAATAATATTGCAGCTTATCACTTCAATTGTATCTGTTAAAATCCTTATATCGTCCTGGTTTAGCTGTTTTCTGACAATTTCTAGTAGTTTCTCTGACGGTGTGGATAACTCTGTTGATAAAATTGAAATTTGCACCTTTCCTGGTACCAGTGATTCCACTAAAGCATCCTTAACTCTTGTATCTGCTGACAGTGCATGGTACTTATAATGCTCCTTACTTCCACCTGTTGACCAGCCTTTTATTTTCGCTTTTATTCTTTTTCCAAAAGCTTCATCATTTTCTTCATCTTTTCTTTCTACTCCATAAAACTCAGCTAAATGATCGAGATCAGTTCCTTCTGCAAACTTCAGTAGATTTGCCTTTGCTGCTTCATTTATTCTCTGCCTCAGTAATAGCTCCCTCCATGCTGCCACTTCTAGGATTTTTACCGCTGGGTCACTTTCTACAAGCGCTGAAAACGTCGGATCTCTATTCACTAGTTCTCCTTTCATCCTAGATAATATCTCCTCATAACTCAGCTTTTCAATTATATTTGGCTGCTGCATTTATCTCAATCTCACTAATATTTATAGATTTACCCTCTAATATACCTGCAAGTGAAATTATAACCTTTCCTTCTTTTACTTCTTCAATTTTCACTTTTTCTAATTTTAACCTTCTCTCCCACTTTTGTAGAGCCTCTGCTACTGCTGCATAAATTTCTAATGTAAAATCACGGTTTACTGGCCTATCAACTAACTCAAATAATCTTGAGCCATAATCCCTGTACATAATACGTGATCCAATAGGAGTGGTTAAAATATCAATAATTGATTGTTTTAGATGCTCTAACCCTTCTAACTTTTTTCCAGTATTTGCATTCATTCCTTTCCTGATGCATGTACATTTTCATTGATTTCTAGTTTACAATCTTCCACTTTAACATCAGGATGTGATACTTTATATGCTGTATAGGTAGATACTAGCAGAGTAGATGTACACATACCAATAACTACTGATGTAGATAGCATAAATGTATATCCTATGGCTGCTATTAACACCATAGCTACAATGCCCACAATCATAATCTCTCCTGCTGCTTTTCTTTGTTCAATTTCAAGTAGTTCTTTAAGTTCTTTTTTTTCTTGCTCAAATTGTGTAAAATCTTTTGCTTTTTTTAGTAGATATTCTACTTCTTGTTTGCACACATAAAATTTAAAAATGTGACTCTTTATATATGCATTCCCAAACGATTCTAACCTTTCATTGAATAATTTACGTGATCTTATGTATTCTTCTTTTTTTTGTTCAAGCTTTATACGGTCTATTTCCTTCTGTAACAAGTCTACTATTTCCAGGTTGTTTTTATGTCTAGCACATGTCAAAGGAGTATAATGACCTCCATCACATATATCAACTTTTGCACCTTTTGCTAATAGATGATTAACCACTTTTATGCAGTTTATATCGGAAGCTATATGCAGTGCCGTAGTATGATACTTAAAACGAGGTATAGTTTTTTGTATGAGGAATAAGTGATTTACACTGAAATTATAACTTTCCCAGCTCCTGTATGTTCCTTTATATTGGCTAAGCTTTTGTTTCATTACTTCAATTATGTCACTGTTTTCTCCTAATTCCTGCTCTATTTCTCTAAATACATTATCAATGTCCTGTTCTATTATAATCATAACCACTCAAATACTTAAATAAATATTGTATATGGTATGTGAAACAATGTCTACTCCATAAGAACATTCTTGCT